TTTAAGAGAGGATCTGTTTCTGTAAGGATTGTCTTAGTGTAATTTTCATTCAAAGCCCATTCATTTTTATCTGGGAATCAGTGGATTTAAACAGAATATTCTCAGAAGCCTGCATAATAAAGGGAAAAAAGATTAACTGGGTTAATAGTTATTCTGCGACTGAATTTGATACCAGTTAAAAACTTAGTAATTTATTCATGCTCAAGAATAACAAAGCCAACTTTTCTAAGCATATTAAATATTAAATACTGGTGTAATCATTACTGAAAGCAAAACCACATCACCCAAGTTTACTTGCTACGTGAAGTCAAAGCATACAAACCATATAGCCTAGGCTATAACTATGGTCAGAGAACTTATGCTAAACAGAATTAGGACCTTCACAAAGAATACAGTCCTCTTGGCTATATCTTGCAATCTACTTGTTTTTCTTAGAAGCTGCTGCCAAAGCCATCCTAATTAGCTTTTGTAGCTATCACTCCTCTCCTTAGTTCCATGTCGATCCCAAGCCATGTCTTGTTTTATCTTAATAGCTGTATCCTTTCCTTTTTACTGCCTTCATGTTACCCTCTCCCTTTTGGTGAGTTTGAAGGCCAACAGATTTAGAAAGACCCCTCCATAATAGAGTGCTGTCTCATGGCTCAAAAGTAAATTCTAAAATGTATTCAGATCTATTGATGTAGAATAAAACTGTTCAATTGTTGTTCAACAATATTGTACAAAATTTACATTGTGGAAACTGGGGTAGAATATGCTATGGTTTTGGTATCTTCCTGGTGTCATACTTTTCAATAAAACCAAAAGGAAGCTTTTCAGGCTTTTTGAGTGTTTGGGTGCTTTTTTTAATAAATGGAATTATCAAGAAGTTGCTGGATGGAGTTACTAGTTAGAGCAGAGCTTTACCCAATATTTTTCAGATTTTTTTCAAATATTGTCTCTTTTTCCTTTTTAGTATATTATATATCTTATAAATATGTTTTAAATGTCCATTTGTATAGCATACACATTTAACGTATTTTAATATATTGCTAAGTGACAATAGAAGTACATATGCGAGTGACTTACACTTTTTCTAAGCTCTGACTGATGACACCTCACTTCTGTAGCATTAGGTAATCATCTATGTAGACAGAGCTAGGACAGTTTTGTGATGCTTGTTCTGAAATATGAAGGATACTACTGCAAATGGGACTGAAATCAATTAGTCTACTAAATATTAGGTCTTATGAATAGAGTCATCTGTCTCCATATTTAACAGAACAAACGGACCTCTTATTGCTTTTCTTACTTATCTTCCTAACTGATTTTTAAACCCATTAAGAAATAATTCAACAGAATCCTTTTAGTGTAGTACAGCTGATAATAATTCTTTTATGATGACTATGAACAAAAGGGAAGGGATTGGTCATATCACCTAGTGCTGATAGTGCTTTTTTTGCTATAAAATTGCACATGTACTGAAGACTAAGTAAAGCCCTGACTAACTTCACTTTTTCCCAGAATGGCTATACTACAGTAGCATTGCGCTCCACAGTCTTCTACCTGAAGAGATCTTCTAGATCTTGCCTTTTTTAAATTGTTTTGTTTTGTTTTAATTTATAGCTAGGCAGGTAATATTCTTGGAAACATGCAAAAAGGCAGTATTTTGTCAGATCTATCAAAAAGCTACTATTCATATCTGGCTTGGTTTAACATAGCTAGACACAACCTCTACTGACTTGAATTTTTGGAACTTCTTCACTGACCTGGTAAAATAAGCATTCACCTGTGTATTCAAAGACCTTCAAGCTGGTCTGGTACAAACATCTTCCTTTTATATTAATCCATTAGCTGTTAGTGTACAGCAATAACTTGAATTGCATGTGCATTGCACGCAGTCTTCATTGGAGCTTATAATAACCTAAGCATCTATGTAGTTCTTCTTGAAATAACTTTGGAATTAATGTAAAACTTTCTGGATGTGTTGTCTCTTTGCAATATTTTACTTTCGATAAGTAATGAGTGAACCTTTTCCTATCTTAATACTGGACTATTTGCCTGACTACCTAATAAGCACAGATTGCTAGATTAATCACTTGGGCAATATTTTTTTCATTCTAGCTTGCATAAAGTAATATTTTTCTATTTACATGAAGCAGAGCTAAGAAAACGATAAGACTGGAAAAATTGGACAGATGGTCTTATATTTTTCTATTTTGTAAAAATTAAATTACCATATGTAGAAAATATGATTTCTTTTTGGTTTCAGAGATGTAGCTAACATGTCTGCACAGAGTTTATAATTGTACTTATGCTAAGAATTTTAGATGGAGTTTGGCCCTTTGCCAAAACTGTGTTAGACTCAAATATCTATTTCATTGATGAAAGAAAAATATTCTCTAACTTTGCTTTTCGCTTCTTACCGTGCAGTTCCTTACATTCTACCTGACATTTATTACTTAATCTATTGCATTTACATAGTTTAACATCAGTTATTACAGTTATTGGAACTGAGCAATGAAATTGTCCTTGAAGCAATACTGCTGAAATGCTGATGTATATATTTCTGAAGCAACTCAACAAGACTACAAACTCTATAAAAAAATATTACACCAGAGCAGTGGTGGCATAGGACCTAAAAAGTGAGTCTACAATTTGAAATGAACATCTGGGCTCTAATCCCTTGAAATTCACCAACTTCTGAATTTATTAGTACCTTGATTTCCAGCCAGCAGTTATATGTCCTGCGGTTAAAGTGAAGCTTACCCTGACAGGTAAATAAAGAAGTAAGGCTTTGAATAGCCTTCTAGACGATTATTACTCCTTGATGCTTATTGCAACAAAAATAAAACTTTGTCTGAAACTTATTTCCTTTTCTACACTTAAGCTTGTCCTTTGCTTCTGGTACCATGGATGTAAAGACCATAGATGAGAATAAGCACATTAGTCTCTTTCTGTGTCAGTGCTATGCATGTGTTCTGAAGGAGTCTTCACTGTGTTCCTTGCTATTGCAGTGATGATGGTACTAGTAACTGCTCTGGTACTAGATTCAACATTTTTACAGTCCACTTCAGTTTCTTCCTGACCTCTAGGCAGTCATGCCCTCTTCCTGACAGTCTTTATGGACTGACAAGTTTTGATGTTAGCAAACAGAGTACACACAGATATTTAGTTTTGCCTGAAGTAGGATGTGTTCTTGGGGGCTTTTTGTGTTTTTTTCTTCTTAGCTATTTTCTTATGGGGGACAGGGTATAAAATATTAATAATAATTTTAAAAAACCTCATAAGTTCAATCATGATGATCTCCTCAGGAAGAGTATCCACAATACAGGACATCTGATGAAAAATGTTATTTACCACACAGATATTTAAGTTTGGTTGGGGTTTTTTTTGGTACAAAATACCCAATTCTCTTAAATTTATTTTGGCAGACTGATACCGAAGTAATCTTTAGTTTTCCTTTTAATGTGACTATTGAAAAAAATCAAATCTGGTCTAATTCTTGCTTATCCAGGCTGATTACATGAAAGTACATCAGTTAATAGCAAATCTATTTCATGATGGTTTTCTCTTAATCATAATAATTGTCACATTAATATGTATGGAATACTACTTAGGTAATGATTTTTTCTGTGCTCATCATTTTTTTTTAATTTTTACTATCAACAGAACCAAATCATTGTGGTTTTTAGCAGGTTTTAGAGTTCTAACATATACATGGGTAAAATTTCTCACACTAAAAGTTAGGCCCCACCTCTAGAGATGTTTGTCTTGTTGGGCCTTCGTACTAATTATATAAAAGGAGTCTACTGAGATTGGGACATTCAGTGTACCCTTGTTTTGCAGTTTTCAAAAAGGTGAAATATTTCCACATACACAGAATAGACCATAATTATTATATTTCAAGACTGAAACCACTAGACTGTTGAAACAATAATTTTTAACCTTCAGATACACCCCAGTTCCCTACTATGTAAATTACTGAATGAAAATTTAGATTACTTTCCTCTCTAAAAAATGAGTCCTTTTTTTGTCTGACTTTTTCTGTCTTGATTAGAACTTGAAATTAACATGACTGACTTCATCCTTGTTATTGTCCAATCTTGTAAGGTAATGGATATTAAAGAGCTGCAGCTACTCAGGATGATGATAATGCTGGAATTGTGATTATTGAAGAGTACATAGTTATTTTGCAAAAATAAGCCCTTCATCAATAATACTGGCTGTGTTGGGTAGGTTATTCATGGGGTCGTGGGACAATAAGATAGTTCAAAGTGGAAGGGACTTATGAAGGTCTCTAGTCCAACCTCCTGCTCAAAGCAGGGTCAGTTACAAAGATAGGCCAGATTGTTCAAGGCTTTATCCAGTGAGCTTTTGAAAACTGAAATAACCAAGACTGAATAATCTTTCTGGGCAATCTGCTCTACTGTCTGGCTGTCTGCATCATGAAAAAGTTTTTCCTTATGCTTAACCTGAACCTCTCTTGTTCCAACTTGTCTTTTGTCTGTCTGCCATATACCACTGTGAAGAGCCTGGCTCCATCTTCTTGATGAATTCCCCATAGGTGTGGATGGCTGGCTGTTAGGTTCCGCTGCAGCTCTCTCTTCTGCAGATTGAACAAGCTTAGCTCCCCCCAGCCTCTTCTCACTGGTTGTATGACTCCCAACAGGTTATTCCCCCCCAGGTGCAGAATTTAGCATGTATCGTCATTGACTATTACGGTGTTTGTGTTGATAAATTCTTCCAGTGTCTTTAGGTCAATGACCTCCTTCATGTCATTCATAAAGGTATTAAATAGGACGGATCCCAGGACAGAATCCTACAGTACCCCACTTGTTACTGGTCTCCAGGTAGAGTATGACCCATTAGCCATTGCTTTCTAAGCCTAACCATCCAACAGGTTTTTTATCAGCCTAGCTGTCCACTCATCCAAACTGTAACACCCTAACTTGATGTGGTGGGTTGGGCCAAGCACCCACACAGCCACTTGCTCATTTGCCTCAACCCCCAGCAAGACAGGGATGAAAATAGGAAGACTGGGAGTGAGAAAACTCATGGGTCAAGGTAAAGAGAGGAAAATCACTGGCAAATTACTGTTGTGGGCAAAACAGATTCTAGCTGGGGAATTTAACTTTATTTATCAACCATTAATATAAACATTTAATTACTGATTTAAGTAGTGGGAAACAAAGAAAACAAGTACTTAAACACTTAGGGAAAACACCTTTCTTCCCCATTCCCAGGATCCAGACACCTCTCCTTCCCCGTTCCTAGTCTCCACTCCACTTTTTGTCACCATCAATGAAGGTTATGCTCAGTCCTTTCAGTGAGGTGATGGGTCATGCAGGAGGTTGGGGTGAGAACATAGGGGTTTCTTTCTGCCATTCCTTCTTTCTCACTCTTTTCTTCAATTGCTCCTTCTGAGTAACTCATTTCCTCTGTTCTATTGTCAGTTATCCACAGGCCACAATCCTCTTGGGGGTATAGTTGCTCTAGCAGGGGCTTATGCATGGGCCACAGTCCCTTCAGGGGTGTTACCAACTGTGCCATGGAGCACCTCCTATTGCTCTGGCCTTCTTTTTCCTCTGTCATGGTGTTCTAAGATGTGCCACAAACTCCTCCAACTGTCTTAGCTGCGTCCTGCAGTGGGTCCATTGTAGAGACAGCTAGAACTGCCTGTGTCCATCACAGTGCCACCCCCACCTCCCTCCCACAGAAGTCACCCCTGCAACCATCCCCTGCTACCAAAACCTTGCTATTTACACCAAATACACTTGAATACGAGAATATCGTGGGAGGCAGTGTCAAGAACCTTGGTAAAGTCAAGGTAATTGCCACCCACTGTTCTTCCCTTATCCACAAAACTAATCATTTTATCCTAGAAGGCAGTGGGGTTGGTCAGGCATGATTTAGCCTTGGTCAGTCTATGCTGAGTATTCCCAGTCACCTTATTCTCATTGAGTTTTTGGTTTTATGTTCATGTGTATTTTTATGCCTTTTTCTTTCTTCCTTTAATTTTGTCCTCAGTTTTAGCATATGAGGCTGTTATCCTTTGTGTAACATCTTCCCTTTATTTTTATTGTTTTTTCCACCTCTATATATACTCCAGTTCAAAAGATACAGTGCTTAGCTGAAACTTTTCAGATTTGTTCAAGAGGTTCTATAGTATAAGATAAGAAAATACAAAACCTGAAAATATAAAACTTAAACTGATAAATGCCAAAATGCATTCACAACCTTCTTTATATTTTTCAGCTCTACTTCAAGTTACAATTTCACTTAGCAAAGTTGAGCTCAGTGTGGGTGAATCCAAGTTCTTCACATGCACAGGTATGTATTCATTTTACTTATAGCTATGTATTTTTTGTTACATTTTGAACCTTCTACATAATTTGAAACTGAATTAATTGATCACAAGATTAACTTAAATTAGCATATTTTTTGTATATTCACATTGACTTGTGAGAATTGCAATAAATAGTAGATTTTCACTGGCTTCACATTTCCAGTCTAGGAACTAGTCATTTCAGGCTCTGAATCAATCAGTTTGAATTGTCTATATCAGGTAGTTTATATCTGTTAGGATGCTTCTTTAGTTAAAATATTTTCACTATATTCTAAACTAAGGAGTTAAATAAGATACTAAGCTAAGATTTAGTATCCTCTCCAACCCAATGAGACATCCAAAGAGTCTTTTCTAGTGAAGCAGATACAAGTCAGGAGGAGAAGAGTTTGCATTTGCAGCTACCCGATGTGGATTCTTGATGTTGCTGAGTTGCCATCTTCCGTTGACAATGACACATGGCCTGACTATACTGATAACACAACTGACTGATGACTTGACCTGTTGATCCAGTGGCTGCTGAACAGCCTGTTTCTTTCCTTTAAGACTTTATACCTTTCTGTGTTTATTTTTTTCCCTCTTGAACCCTTGAGCTACTAGTATGATTGTTGAGCCAGGATAACATCTGCCTGTAGTTTTGCCTTGCTTGTCTTTCTACAGACTTTCTCACAACTCTCATAATTTAGCAATTCTCTGACATTGCATAGACATTGTGCACTGGGTAGGCATATATGTTGCATAATGTCTACCTGAACTTCTAACATTGAATTGGTTTTTGGTTTTGTTTGTAGCCATTGGTGAGCCTGACAACATAGATTGGTACAATCCACAAGGAGAGAAGATTGTTTCTAGTCAAAGAGTGGTTGTTCAGAAAGAAGGTGTTCGATCACGTCTAACCATTTATAATGCAGATATAGAAGATGCTGGTATATATCGGTGTCAAGCAACCGATACTAAAGGACAAACTCAAGAAGCTACAGTTGTTTTAGAAATTTATCGTAAGTAAAATATTATCAATTAATAAATGAAAGACTATGTTTTAAAGCCCACTGCTATTGAGAAAGTAAAGCCTATCAAAATATCTTCCTAGGCTCTGAATTTTATCTTCCAAATAATTGCATCTCCTGGACTTTAGTTAATAGATATTATGGCGAAGACTTAAATGAAATGCATGGCCACTTTGTAATATTGTAGATCACTTTTCCTTTGTATATTAGAATGCCATCTTATGAGGGTGCACTGTATGCCCCTTATGGAAAAGAGGAAATATGAAAAAAAGTTATGTCAGCCTAATTCTTTTACAAATACATCTACAACCTATTACAAATATGTGCATAAATAAAAGTCCAGGAAGTGTAATATATGTCATTAAAAAAAGTGGATTTTAGACTGAATTAGTTATTTTTATGTCAGTCTTTTCCTATTCTTGGCCTTACAATGGAATTTTGTCATAAAGCATTGAAGCTTAATGTGATAAGCAACCAAAATTCATTTCAATTGCAAACAACTAATTGAGGAGTATATTTGAAAAGTAAATACATTCTATTGTGGTAAAAGATTCTCTGAGAGGTTGGGTGGTTTTTTTTACATATAACTTTAATAACAATAACTTTTTACAATAACTTTACATTGTACTGTACTCTTTTAGATCAATCAAAAATGTCTACAAGCACTATATTAAACAAGTACACAGTGAAGGTACAAAGCAAGGTCTTTATTGAAAGGGTGGGACACATGCTAGCAGCCTTTCAGCTGAGTTATTCTCTAATTTCATTGGAGAATAGTTTTTTAATATTCATTAAAAAATTTGTTGTGGATGGTCTGAGTACTGAGGAACTGCAATGAGACTGAAAATACAGAGTAGAATCATAAAGCACTGCTTCTGAAAGGTACAGACAACTCAGATAACAAAAGACATACAATTTAAAAAATATCTATTGATAAAACAACAATTAAAATGGTGATCGCAGTTACAAGAGATTACATGATGGCTTGAAAGCTGGCAGTTCAAAGGATTTCAAGTTTTGTGGAATTCATTTGTATGCTTAAAACTGCCAGTCACTCCATTAGCAGACTGCTGAGCAAAATCGAAACCTTCTGAAGTGCTTCCATGTGGTAATTTTAATAATTCTGACGTTAGGTAAACCCAAAGATCTACACAAGAAATGTGAAGGTTTATGGGAACTGACATATAAAAGTTTCATTATTGGTATTTGTGATGTATTGTAAGGAAAAAGCATGATGCACTGTACTCCTAGGGTCTGGTTCAGCACTCACTGATGTCTGTAAAATTTTTTTTTCTGACTTACATATGGTCAAATACTTCAAACATTTTATACAAGTATTTTGTAAAAGTATATTAGAGATGTATATAACATAAGTGTGGTCCCTTTGCTGTGGGAACTATGTGGATTATTTGAGTCTGCACTTGTATCAATACAAAAAGTTGGAGGTAGAGTTGCATCTCTGACGTATGTTCTCCAAAGTATCCTCTGAAATGTGATTAGCAGTCTTTGATCCTAGAGAACCTAGATAGGTTTGTTTTTCTGTGTGCAAGAAATTCTTCCAGAATTTTTTGTCAGGCAATTGGTTTCTGCATTAGAACTTGTATGAGATCATTGATTAATGATGTCTTGGACTTAAAACACTAAATTCTAATAATACTGAACTTACTGAACCCATTAACAAAATTAAATATCAAGTTTGGTTATTTGGGTTGGAAAAAATAAAAGCCTCATCAGGTCTAAAAAGATTTTGTTATTTCCTCAAAAAAATGCTACAATTTCTTATGACTTAATATTATTTAATTTTTCCCACATAGTTTCCCACTCACTTTTAAGATTTTGTGTTTTGCTCAGCTGATGTTTTTTTCACAGTCAGTGAGGCTAAAGTTCCACCTTTTTAATAAGACATTTCCAAATAAAATTGGTGGTTTTGATGGAAGTTTTGATGAAATAAAATCATGAGGTTTTAATGCAATAATAACAACATGAGGAATAAAACACACAAGAGAGTAAATAGACTATTAACATGAATATATAAGCCTCTAAACACCTAGAGTTTCAAAACTGGGCTCTAGAACATCGAAAACAATGAAAAATATACTTATAAAACATGCTCAGTTTATATAAATAAAAGAAAGATTTTCATAATGCAAAATGATTGTAAAATTATTTCCACAGACAGAGTAGAAGTCATGTGTCCAGGACCATTCGAGTTTTATCTGGGAAAAATTATTATGGAAATAATTCTGTATTTTCACAATGAGAAGGCTTAATAATCATCTTTATCTGATTTGGTGTCACATATAATTTTAATGCTAAGTGAATTGGAAGACACTTACTATATTCTGTTTTCTTCCTTTTCAGAAAAGCTCACTTTCCGAGACATAGTATCTCCACAAGAGTTCAGGCAGGGAGAAGATGCAGAAGTTGTTTGCCGTGTTACTAGTTCACCTGCTCCCATTGTCAGCTGGTTGTATCGGAATGAGGAAGTCACAACTATTGCTGACAGTTAGTATTTTGGTAACTCTTTAAGTTATACATTCTAACTAATTTTAAAATAGTATTGCAAAAGAAGGCTAATGACATTACAGTGGAGGATTGATTTTGATTAATCCATCAGCTTAAGTAGAATTTAACGAGGTTTTGTGGTCTATAGAGAACCCGTATGCAATGGTTTCCTTCATGTGTCATTTTTTCCAGTTGGGAATTTTGGCTAGATGTAACATGAGGGTCCAAATGACCAAAAGATTGCTGGGAGCTCCTTCGCAGGAGCTCTTCCTGGGCTGCCTTGTATGTAGGAGTTAAACACACTTTTAAAACACACAGAGGTAAACTTCACTGTCCGCACAAAGCTGTGACACTGACCAAACACTGAATTGACTGTGGTATACTTGCACAGTAGCTCAGAGAATCCTGGGTGGATAGGCTTTTTGCACTTCTGTGAGAGTTTACTTGTATGACTGTAAGTTATCTTTTGAGTTACAAACAACTGGGGATATAGGTGATTTGCTTAGGCTAGATTTCCTAACAGCTAGGCTGATAAAGTTATGTGAAGATGAATCTCACCTTCCCCAAATGCAAGTTCTAAGCCTGTAGAAAGACAATTAATTAGGCATATAGAATTTATTTGGTTTACCCTGTCAAAAACTGTGAACCATTTTTTCATTGCTGTCTCAGTAGTCTTCTTTGCCTTTGTGGAAAACAGGACCTTCCACATTTTCTGGAAATGGAACTACCATTGCTGGTGAACCAGCTTATCCAGCTTGTCATCAGTTTTTATCTCTGCATGTACTAAAACTCAAGGTTGTAGTGTATGCGCTTAAAATTCTGGTTCATTAGAAATTAAATATTTTTATTTCAAAATGAAAATGAAAAGTTATATTTGGTCTCTTATGCAATCACATAAACAAATGTGGAGCAATTGCTGGGGGCCGGGGGGGGGAAGCTTGTTTGATGTTTCCGGACTCTGGCAGACTCCTCTCCCTTATGAAAGAAAGTTTTGATTAAACTCCTTTCTTATTTAGTATATCCTATCCCTTCTGTCATCTAGACACAAGGACTAAGAAGAAATAGCAAACTTCTACCCTTAGAAAAAATGGGTTGAAATTTTAATATATATCATTAAACAGTGAATGTAGGTGAGACAGAGAGGATTTTGAAAAATAAGAACTCTGAAAACAAAACAAGATTTGGCAATGTAGCAAAAAGTCTTTTTCAAGGATGCAGCTCAGCTTGATGAAGTAAAACTGCCTCAAAGATCTCTCTCAAAATTTTTTATTATTGCCATTTTATTTGCTTTTCTAATCAATCTGGATGCTGTAGGATTAGCAAAGGAAATAAAGCAACTATTCCTTTCTTTTTCAAAATCATACATTTTGAAAATTCTGAGGTTTTGAATTTCAATGCATGAACTTGTCTCATAATGCTTACAATGTGAAAAAGTACAATGATAGAAACAAGTTTTAATTTAAATAGCAGAATACCTTCCTTATGTTCTGATCTACAGTAGTATCCAAATAAGACTGCAGTCACGCATGGGAGGAAGCAACGTTTTAAATCATGTAAAAATAAGACATTGTGAACATGGTGAGTTTTGGCTATGTATATATGGCTTTATAATGCAGGTGGAAAAAGAGTATACCCAAAGTCTTGCAATTAAGAAATTTTTTTCATGCCTTGAGAAATCAAAAGACTTAATTTCATGTTACATTTCCAGCTTCAAAATCTCCAATGAACGATCAGTACCTGTAACCTATTTGCATAATTTAAAATTAGATAACATCAAATTCTTCTGTCATATTTTAAATGGTACCTATTAAAAAAAGAAGTATCTATTCTTGTTGGGTTCTAGTTCATAGTAAGCTAAATTACTGAATAATTTCCTATCCAAACTGAATTGTATATTGCAGTTTATTTGGGGGGCATGAGAAAGCAGCTTCTATTTTAAGCATTCTAGCATTGGCATAATAGGAAGAAATAAGATAATGTCATTGCTTTAATTTCATGGCTTTTCTGTTATATTCTTGACCATTCTTCTGTTGTATGTGTTACAACTAGCAGGATTTTTGCAGTACAGGCTTTTGACTATTTCAGTTTTGGAAATTCTTGACACTTACTAGTATGTATATTTGTATGTTCCATTTGAACAGAAAGCTGATTTCTTCTCCCAGAAGGCCTGTGCACAAAATCAGAAGTGAATATTTAAAATTTTTTCCTGTGTAGTAAGTCCATAGCTGAAATAGCTATAGGTGAAATAGCCTCTCACCATTCTGAATTAGTTTCTGTATGTTCCCAAAACCTTATGTGCTCCATTGCTAGATCATCCTAGGATTTATATTCTCTTTTGAGTTCTACAAACAAAGATGTAAGAAAAAACTGTGGGAGTGGCTGTCCTTCATTCTTTGGCAAAATAAAAAACAAACAAAACAAACCTAGGTGAATAATGACCTCCAAAAGTCTGTCTGGTCTTATGTTAAGATTTAATAGGGCAATATATAAAGCATCATTTTCTGGGAATGTTCTGATCTTTTCTCTATTGTTATCAAAAGCTGAATTGTCGTGACTCATAATTCCATTGTATGGGAGTCAGGGACATTTTACTAGCTATAAAAGTGAATGGGATTGTTTTCACTGATCAGTTCTTATCTGGAGTTGTAAGTGACTCGCTCTGTTTTTGCACAATTCTGGGGCTTCAAAGGACATTACATACGACTCATTCCACATTGCTTAAAGCAAATATAGAAATTTTATGTACAGACATTTGTATATTAGTTTATGTTTGGAGTTGACTTCAGAAGAAGGTTAGCTGCCCCTTTTAATACAAATATGCTACATATATATTACCCATTGTCTGTATAAATATGCATGTTTTATTCTGTCACTGCTCAAATCATTAAGGTATGTCAGAATTCCACTATCAGATTAACAATTTTCTATAAACATAGTATAGGAGTAGTATGTAACTATAATGCATGTTGAAAAATGTATCTTGTATACAACTGGATAGAAAGTATTGGGGACTGGTGCATCCCTCATGTTTTCTGTATGCTTTGGTATATTTTATTGTTTTATATTCTCAAGTATGCAATTCTATTAGGGTTTTTTTTCCCTTGTAGTTATTTTTAGTTTGTAAATTTATTCTCTTCAAGACCACAATTTATATGAGATAAAAGGCTCTGGAAAACTTAGAATTTACTTTTTGAAAATCCATCTAGTTACAATTCTAGGGAACTGCATGTTATCTTATGATTGATGTGGTCCATAAAAAAGCATTCCCTCTTATTCTGAAAGATTAGATAAGACAGACTTCAAATGAGCCAGACTAACCCTCTAGATCACATTGGGTAGGCTGCGGCAATCCAGTTCTGCTGCTTCCTCAGTGTAGCATAGTTCCTGAGAGCTAGCTTTCCCACTTCAAGTCAGTAGTTTGCACAGCTCTAATTACAGTAGTGGAAAATGTGGTGCCGTTGTTCTATAGACCTAATGTAGACCATTTAAATGTATTTGTGTAAACTGATGTGCAAAGGTGAGTGTTAGCTTTAAGGTGGTTAACATGCTGTGTTTACATTTGGTCTAGAAGAAAAAATTACAGTCCCCCCATAGAGAATGACTGGTTTAGTTTTATGAGGGACATATTTAATAGAAGTCTTGGTCTTCAGCTTTTGCCTAAAGTTTTGATTTTTTTTCTTCAACAGGTCTTTAGTCATGTCCTAGTCTTAGACAGAACAGCTGTGCCTAACCTTTTTTTAGACATTGTGGGTCATAGTCTGGTACATAGCCTAGAACATATGAAAATTTGGAAACCATAAGCCAAAAATTGCTCAAGCTCTAATTATAAGGCACTGAAAAGACATAAGCGATCCCTCTTGCCATCCATATCACTGATTTGACTGAAGGTGGCATGACTGTTCTTCTGAATTAGGCATTTGAAGTTGAGTGAGCTGACTCCAGAAAATAGAGTGATGATCTGGAGGACTGTAATGCCCAGTCACTGTCCACATCCTCCAAATATAATCTGTTTAGGATAGGACACAATTTTTATTAGAATATCTATGGTACAATGAACTTTATCTGTGTGCACACCATCTCTAAGTATTATGTTGTATTACTAGTTTATTCTACTGCTTTGAACCTCCTGAGTGTTTGTCATAGTTTAACCCCAGTTGGCAACTAAGCACCACCCAGCTGCTCACTCACTCACCCTGCGTTGGGTTTGGGGAGAGAATCGGAAGAGTAAAAGTGAGAAAACTTGTGGGTCGAGATAAAGACAATTTAATAAGTAAAGCAAAAGCCCTGCGTGCAAGCAAAGCAAACCAAGGAATTCATTCACCACTTCCCATTGGCAAGCAGGTGTTCGGTCACATCCAGGAAAGCAGCGCTCCATCACGCATAATGGTTACTTGGGAAGACAAATGCCATCACTCTGAATGTTCCCCCCTTCCTTCTTCCCCCAGCTTTATATGCTGAGTATGATGTCATATGTTATGGAAAATCCCTTTGGTCAGTTGGGGTCAGCTGTCCCAGCTATGTCCCCTCCCAACTCCTTGTGCACCCCCAGCCCCCTCACTGGTGGGGTGGGGTGAGAAGCAGAAAAGGCCTTGACTCTGTGTAAGCACTGCTCAGCAATAACAAAAACATCCCTGTGTTATCAACACTGTTTCCAGCACAAATCCAGAATGTAGCCCCATACCAGCTACTATGAAGAAAATTAACTCTATCCCAGCCAAAACCAGCACAGTGTTCCATAGTACCTGTGTGTGAGCCAATGTAGGCAGGATGCAGGAACAACCACAAAACCACGGATGAAATGCAAAGAGTAAATTTATTGTCATTACCTTGCTAACCGGGAGATCTCCAAGGCAGCACCCAGGCAGAGGCACACAAGTGGGAATGCAGGTACCGCAGAGCTCAGTCCTTGCTGGAGAGAGAGATTTCAAACCTGCTGCTTTCACCTGTATATCAGAGATTTTCACAGGCATAATTTTCCACTGTGCTTTGATCTTTCCCACTTTAGGGCAGGAATCTCAAGCTTGTTCGATAGGGTGCCTCTGAGTCTATCACAGGCCTATGTTATCTAAATACAGATGTTCTACTTGTCAAGTACACAAGACCAAACAACAATTAGTATATATATGGTTTTTTTTGACACCCCAGCTGCATGTCACTTGAGCATGTTTACAATTCTCCTCACCAATCTTCAGTTATTTTCCCACATGTGAGTCCATCACCAATGTCCTTGAGCAAAAGCAATCCCACAAATGAGTTTGCCTTTGCCTGAGGCAGGAGTGACCCAGACTGTCTTCCCTAACATATTCTTTATGTGCACTACAGGGACTTTATCCCCTTCTACAGTGCGTAAAAGTTTTGATTGGGCAGGGCCAGCTTGATTGGTAGATCAAGTGTTAACTAACCAGGTAGCCTTTGCTAAATATGTGCCCCAATGTTTGAACGTTCCACCCCCCATTGCTCTCAGTGTAGTCTTTAGCAGTCCATTGTATCATTCAATTTTCCCAGAGGCTGGTGCATGATAGGGAATGTGATACACCCACTTCATGCTATGCTCTTTGGCCCAGGTGTCTATGAGGTTGTTTCGGAAATGATTCCCATTGTCTGACTCAATTCTTTCTGGGGTGCCATATGGCCACAAGACTTGCTTTTCAAGGCCCAGGATAGTGTTCTGGGCAGTGGCGTGGGACACGGGATATGTTTCCAGGCATCTGGTAGTTGCTTCCACCATTGTAAGCACATGGCGCTTGCCTTGGTGAGTTTGTGGGAGTGTGATATAGTCAATCTACCAGGCTTCCCCATATTTATATTTCAGCCATTGTCCTCCATACCAAAGAGGCTTTAACTGCTTGGCTTGCTTGATTGCAGCACGTTTCACATTCATGGCTAACTTGTGTAATTGTGTGCATGGTCAAGTCCACCCCTCGATCATGAGACTATCTATATGTTGCATATCTTCCCTGATGGCCTGAGGTGTCATGGACCCACCAAGCTATAAATAATTCACCCTTATGTTGCCAGTCCAGATCCACCTGAGCCAATTCAATCTTAGCAGACTGATCTATCTGCTGGTTGTTTTGATGTTCTTCAGTGGCCCAAATCTTTGGTATGTGGACATCTACATGATGTACTTCTACAACTAGATTCTCTAGCTAGGACGCAATATCTTGCCACAGTGCAGCAGCCCAGATGGGTTTGCCTCTGCACTGCCAGTTGCTTTGCTTCCATTGCTGTAACCACCCCCACAGGGCATTTGCCACCATCCATGAGCCAGTGCAGAGATAGAGCACTGGCTGTGTTTCTTGATCAGCAATGTCTAATGCAAGCTGGATGACTTTCACCTCTGCAAACTGACTTGATTCACCTTCTCCTTCAGCAGTTTCTGTGACCCATTGTATAGGACTCCATGCAGCAGCCTTCCACCTCTGATGCTTTCCCACAATGCGAAAGGATCTGTCAGTGAATAGGGCATATTGCCTCTCATTGTCTGAGTTTATTATACAGAGGGGCCTCTTTAGCATGCGTCACCTCCTCCTCTGGCGATATTCCAAAATCTTTGCCTTCTGGCCACTCTGTGATAATTGCCAAAATTCCTGGGCAACTGGGGTTTCCTATTCAAGTTCGTTGTGTAATCAGTGTGGCCCACTTACTCCATGTGGCATCAGTTGCATGATGTATAGAGCAGACCTTCCTTTTGAACATGCGACCCAGCGCCAGCAATTGGGTGCTAAGAGGAGCTGTGCTTCAGTACCAACTGCTTCTGAGGCACTTCTCAACTCCTTCGTATACTGCCAATATCTCTTTCTCAGTTGGAGTGTAGCGAGCTTCAGATCCTCTGTATCCCTGACTCCAAAACCCCAGGGCTCAGCCTCGGGTCTCCCCAGGTGCTTTCTGCCAGAGGCTCTAGGTAGGGCCATTCTCCCAGGCTGTGGCGTAGGGCACATTTTAACACCTTGTCCTGCCCAGACTGGCCCAAGGGCTACTGCATGAACAATCTCCCGTTTAATTTGTTCAAAGGCTTGTTGTTGTTCAGGTCCCCATTTAAAATCATTCTTCAGGGTCACTGATAGACTGCAGGAAGTAATTCTTCTCAAAAGAGTCCATTAATATTGACTAGTTATGGTGGATTGACCTTGGCCAGCTTTCAGGTACCCACACAGCCACTCTCTTACTTACCCTTCTCAACAGGACAGGGGGAGAAAATGAGATGAAATAGCTCGTGGATTGAGATAAAGACAGGGAGATCACTCACCAATTACCAGCACAGCCAAAACGGATTTTAATTGGCAAAAATTAGTTGAATTTATTGCCAGTTAAATAGAGTTGGATGATGAAACACAAAGACAAAATTAAAGCAACACCTCCCCCGTCCTTTTTCCCAGGCTCAACTTCACTCATTTATTGCCGACTTCTCTACCTTCCAAGCACTGCAGGGAGATGGGGAATGGGGGCTGTGGCCAGTCCATAACAGCTCCAACGTGGGTCCTTCCCATGGGCTTCAGTTGTTCAGGATAAACTTGCTCCATCATGGGGTCTTCCCCAGACTGCAATGTGGATATCTGCTCCACCGTGCTGTCTCCTGGGGCTGCAGGGAAATCTCTGCTCTGGTGCCTGTAGCACCTCCTCCCCTTTGGCCCTTCCTCACAGAGGCTGCCCCTGCAGCCCTCCTGCTGCCAACATCTTGCCACGTAAACCCAATACACTAGTTCAGACAGAAAGGAAAGAAAAATTAAATTCAGATTCAATTTACTCTTGCAGATTATAATTTTGCTGCTGCATGTGCAGGAAAGTATATGCGCATTTGTTAAGAATCTTTTTTTCAATGAACTTAAGCTACTCAAAAAGTCTATTGAATTTCACTTTATGCTGGACTATGCAGAAGGTAGGGTGGTTTCTTGGATTATGTCTTCGCACCCATTTCTATGAAGTGTTAGACTGTGGTGAGATACATCATTGACTGAGTAATAGTGAATGAGCAAAGGAACAGGAGGAGGGAAGGAGAGCAAGCAAGCTGAGAAATTATTAAATGCCATAAAATGGGCACAAAGACAGTTGGTTAATCTAGATAGAGAGGGAAGAAGCATTTTCTTACTTATTTTATTATAAATTGCTCAATTTGTCTTTTTTTCCATCTCTTCTGTCTTTTTTATATTCTGTGTAGGTGTTCATGAGTATTCCACTCATTTTGCAATAATTTATAAATTTAACTTAGATTTGATGACTCCTCAGAGTAAATAGGAAGTTATGGATGGAAAATCCAGATTGAATTTTAGGAAATGGCAATGTATTTTGGAGTGGGAAAAAAATAAATTTCTCATCTGACATTTTACTTTTAAATTGACAAATGTTTTGTCAATGAGCATTCTGATTGTACAGAGAAAGTAGATAAATATTACTCATTTAAGTTAGTGTTCCTTGTGTTGTCTTGATTTACTAACACCACTTAATCTCTTACTTGCCTTTCTAGATCGATTTGCAGTATTAGCAAACAATAATCTCCAAATCCTTAACATCAATAAAAGTGATGAAGGAGTATACAGATGTGAAGGAAGAGTGGAAGCCAGAGGAGAAATTGACTTTCGGGACATAATTGTTATTGTGAATGGTAAGGAGTAAAAATTGTTGAATTGACTTCTTGCTTTACTTGATTATCATACTCTATTTTAAAATATATCAGCTTCTAAAAAATCCTGATTAAATTGGTTAATATAGTTGTCATGTCTGTTTAGTATTGTTTTCCTATAAATGTAATTGCTTAATATTTAAAAAAACCTACTATACTGTGTAAATAGAATCCATTGCATTTCATAGTATCAGTGTATATAAATATGTAAAGCTTGGATTATTGTTTTTAATTATTCACAGAACACTGACAATCACTGCAAGACTTGATTTTCACATTATAATATATAGTAGTTCAGTTCACCCTGTATTTTTCAGTGTTTTGTCATTTACTGTTAAAAAAACCACACTTGATTTTTCATATTCACCTTCATTGCATTAACACATTTTATTAACTGTCCCAAAAGTCACAGATACATTTTATTAAGATTAACAGTATTACTTAGAGATTTTTAACATTTTATTTCTATGAGGAGTAAAATATATAATGACTTAACTGAAAAGTGGCATTATATATTTTATTAGTTTATAATAAACCTCTAAGAAGGAATATGAATGGATTAAGTGGAGTATTTAGCTCAACCTCTCTCTTAAAGTCAGGGTTGACCTGTTGAAAAATAAATATCTTTTCATATATTGTCCAGAAAAGACACAGTTCATAAAGGGCTTTCTTTTTTCTATGCATTCTGTTTAATGTCAGTTTTTGAATGAAACTAATTCAATCATGTCTATTAGGTTCTGAGTTTTAAATGCTTTGTCCTTGACTGGTCCTTCTTGGCAAACCCCAGTTTACAGAAGTCATTATGTAAGTTGAATTCTCAGTCAATTTCAGGAGAAAGAGCAGATTCTGTCACAGATATTATTTAATCCATATAGTCAAGCAGCAATCTTTGAAGCAGAATTCTTTAGATTGTTGTAGATAGTATACAGACAGTGGCAAGCAAATAGGAGATTATTCTACATATTGTGATAGAATATAACAGTACATGCCCTATGCACTGTGAAGCCCCCCCCAACAAATTGCTTTCCTCTCTGTGCATTGTGGTGCTGCATTACCTTGACTTCTGGTTATGTATGGTTCCAACAGCGCATCTGATAACATTTAAAATGCTGAATGAGATTTTCTGCTGCTGCTATTTATGTTCATGGATATGAACCTACATTTTGAACACCTTTCGCTTCTATATGATACATATATGCAGTTGAGCTGAGAGAGCACCTGTATTTAACCTAAAACATCAAATTGCAAACTATGGTCTGACTTCATATCATTTATTGGTGGATTATATCCACAAATTTGGTTCTTCATGTGTTTATTATGACTCTAGACAAGAATGCTAACACTAACCTCTAAACTTCAGTTCACAGTGTTAGGAGAAGAAGGAGTTGCCAACTGAATGATTCTGACATGGTTGCTCATGTAGAGTAGTATCAATTAAGTGCTACACAAAGCTGAATGTATTAAACTTGGCCCAAAATAGCTTTTAAAGTAATATTAAAAATCAGAAAGAAAAAAAAATTGTAGATCTCTCTGAAAAAGAAAACCTATGAAAGAATTGGATTCAGAAAAGAAAAGGAAAAAAAAAAAAGAAAAGACAGAGCAATCTGTAGGCCGCTAAATGCTACATGGCTGTATTTCCACCATGTTTCTTTTTCCAAAAAATAAGCAGTAATACTTACTTTGGAGGATAATCAAAGCTTGGTATAAAAAGAAAAAGTTATCATGATAGTATTTGTATGTAGAAACTATGTGAATTTAGAACTTTACTGTTTATTTACTTATATTGTAATAGTACCTACAGAATCTACAGAAAGATCTAAGATCTATACACATAGTAAGAAGCATACAAAGTCTCCAAAGCTGGATGAACTGCAGCTAAAGAACATAGAAATAGCAATAGTTCATGAGACCTGGCACACCACATAACACATAATTTTACAGTTTAAAGTTTTTAAGTTTTGGTGAGAGTTTGTAGGGAGACACGAATATAGACAATTATGACATTAATAATTAATTCAATAATATTACTGCTTGCTTTTACATATGTTTTTAGGGTTTATAGTGGAAATACATTTCCAGGAGGAATATAGGGGCTGAAATTGTTGTAGCTTTGCTGATGTATTTTGAGAATAGCAGAATTCTCCATGTATGATGTTTCTTTTCTGCAAACAGTATATGAGTATGTTGCTTTCTAAATGTCTTCTTTATTGTATAGCAAGAGTTGATAATGCTTATATTTCTGAAAATAACATCTGTTCCAAAGCTTATACATGCTATACTCAAAAATGTAAGCTATGGTAGAACTGTGTGAAATCCTGGATTCCCTTTTGCAAGAATAGTGATGAAGATTTGATTAAAAAGGAAACTATTAGCTATCCTTTTGCTCATTGCCCTCTAGTCAGAGTATTATCCATGATCCATACATCGTCTGATTCAGGACGAAGATTTGAATTAAGATCACCTCTTCTGTGAACAAGGACTTTATTTGGTACTGTTTCTTTGCCTCTCTGTCCAACTAAAAAGGGAGGACAGACAGAGTGGAAAAACAGTTTGAGAGGTTGAGAGCACCCAAACATTACAGCAAACTGATGAAGACCAGTCTCTCAGAGGTACATGATATGGGGCCAAATCCTCTCAAGAAAAGGAGAAAATTAAACCTAGGACTAAACCTATGATTCTTAAATTTAAGAACAAGAGGTAAGTTCCCTCTTGGGCTGTTTTGGTCATAAATGAGTCATCTCTGCCCATGTGGATGATACTTGCCTGTAGAATGGTTTCTTGTGGTGTGTGGAGGCAAGAAAAATGAATCACCACTAGAAGTATTACTATAAAGTGAAAGATTAGACCTTGCAACCACCAAAATAAAGTGATTAAAAGCCAATCTCCAAATTATTTAAGAGCATGTTGCAAAAGTTCATTATTTCTTTGCCTGAAGTTAGATAGTTGTACCCATATTTAGGTACCTAAGTAAATAGAAGAAAGTTTCACAGTTGATGAAGCAGCATGTGCAGGTGATGTTGACTAAGTGGAAATGAATTGAACTTTTAAACTTAGATACCTAGATGGAATGTTATTATTTTCCTTAGTAACAATGACTTCCTAAGAAGCTGAAATTAGGTGACTTTAAGCAAAGTATCTTTTTTTTTTTTTTTTTAAATTAGTGGAGTCATAAATAGAATCAATTTCTTATAAATTCTTTACAATAAAAAGGAAAATTCTTGTTTGGTAATCATGATATGAATATAGTCTAGAATTTGGGGGAAAATACTGGGCTATAAGTGCACAGTATAAATACACATAAAGATAATGTTGTAGAGATGTACTTCATTTTGAAGATAAGGGATTAGAGAAGACAATGGTGTGTGTCTTAAATATTTCTTCCATTCTCTACTCCATCTGGATGCTAAGCTGGTTGACATAACATTGGCTAATTCACATCAGGGAGAGGTGTAAATAACAGAAAGTAGGGATGACATCGATAGCATTTCCATCAGACCATAGTAGAGTATGTTCTCTTCTATACCCAGTGTCCAAACTAGCTGATGATAGCAGCAGTTATGACTCAAGCCACATGCACATAGTTTTAAAAACTGAAAGCTGTAAAAGAAACTATTTTGAAAGTGATATTCAGTGTTCTGGTTAGTGTTGCAAGACAGGGACTCTCTGCTGAGGAGTTTGATGGTGAAGGCCTGGAAATGCAACACAGATCCTCTCTCTACTAACTTATGGAAAAGAAGAAAACAATAAATTTGCAGAGGAAGCGTTAAAATTTGTTTGCCTAGGTTATTGGCCCATGAATATAGAGGTTTGGTGTTCTGGGGACATGATATTTCCATATCCAACCTGTAGCCTGGGCAATTTCAGGTAGGAAAGAAGTGATATGTAGACTTAACATAAAAAAGTGTGAAAGCAATGTAAGTAAATATATGTTAGAAAACCTCTTTAGTTTTAGCTGGATGTTCACTATAGTGGGTTTTTTTGGTTTGTTTTTTTTTTTAATGTTTTAAAGATTACATATGAACAGAATGCAAATTTACTTAAAAATTGTTAAGATCTTGGAACAAAGTTTGATATATAAAATGTAGTTTATAGTGTACAGAAATCTTTGGGGGTTTATAATAGGTAATAAATTGATATACATTTGACCTCGAATATCTCTTTGAAATCTAATGTTTAGGTATCTTTTTCTACTTTCAACACTGGAAATTTTATAGCATTTCTTCTCTACCCATATTTACAGTTATGTCTAAATGTCAGGGGTTTTGTAAAAAAAAAAAAAAAAAAAGGTTAACATGAGATAGATCAAAAGAATTCAAGTCTTCCTCCTGAAAACAAAACTTCTTTTTTTTGTTATTTTCTCTCTCTCTCTCTCTCTCTCTTCTTCTAATGGGCTTATTAGATTTATTTCTTTAAGTTTTCTTTTCTGTGTGGGAAGGTCCATAAATGGGATACACATCCTGATCTCACTGACATAAATGAAAAAGAATTGTTTCCACTTAAATGTGACTGGATTTTACCACTTTGCTTAAGTGTGAAATGTGAGAGACTTGCCATTATAGCATCATTTGGCTTTTCCTCTTAGATACATACTTTAGTTTCATCCTATGTACATATGGGAACAGAACCAAAGATAAACAGATCTGTTGCCGGAAAGAATGATGAGAAAAATAAAATTTTACTTTTGAAAAGAAAAAATAGTATTTCATTTCATTGTCATTGGAGTGTTTCTTGGAAGACTGAAGCACTAGTGCTGAACTGAGTCATAGTCCTGTAGTTCTTAGTTGTCAGCAGTGAAGAACCTGCTACTTCTGGCAAAGAATTGCTTCATCCTTTCATGTTACTGAGTATATTTTCAGGTCTAGACATTAGAATGCACTGAAAAATGGCTAAAATGTATTAAACACTTTCTAAGTTACTTTTTTTATGGAAGATGGATAAATTGCTGTTGCACAACAGGAGGGTTTTGTATGCTGAGTAATGGCCCATGGAATTTCAGATAGGAAAGAAGTGACCTGTGAAACACAGATTTCAGCACACCATAAAAAAGTGTGAAAAATACATAACAACATTTACTTACTGATCACTGATAATTCTGGTACATTATTTTTTAATAATTTGATATATTTAAGGTTTAGAAGCTGGAAAGGCTTCTGAAGTAGAATATTAAAGCTAAAATATTTGGTGCAAAGCAACAGAAGTTGATTCTCAACAGTTGTGAGAAAAACCTGTGGAAGTGCAATGGGAAGCCAAAAGCAAATTCGTTGGGATTGCCTGTTTCTCCTTCTTTTCTTTAGTGTATGTTCAAGCTAAAAAGGATAACTGAGTCACACTGGTGACAGGACACTCTTGCTAGCAGAGACCTATATTTTATGAAGCTCTAATCTTCTTTTACCTTTTCTCTCGCTTTCTCTGACATTCCTTCTTTTTCACATATCCTCTTCCTTCCAATCCGCTGGGATTGTTTTCGTTTGTTTATTTTCTTGATAGTTAATGGAAACAGATTTAGGACAACTGTCTTAAAATTACCATATGAACAAAGATGTTAAATATCAGCCTGTGAGTTGTTCTGTCTTAAATATTATTGCTATTTTTTCTGTTGGGTAGAGTTCTCTGCAAACTGTTACAATTTTAGTAATAACTTCATCCCATCAAGAGTAGACAAAAGTTGTCACTCTCAGAACAAATTACAATTTTTGGAAATAAAATTTCCAAGAATAGATTGTATCCCTTGGGTTCTGTCACATTTCACCTTTTGAAGCTGGTGATACTCCTGCTGAGGAAATATGCAGGACTTACTTAAGTAAAAAGAATTAAATATACATAATCAAGGCTACTACATACTGCACCGGTTTTAAAAGCACTGTCTGATGTTAATACATCGTTGTATGTCAGCTTTATAATTGAATGAAAGAGAAAAAAAGACTAGAGATACATTTTCATTTGAGATGATAGTTAAATTACCGCCCATCATAACTCTATTGTGTCTTATACATGCTAAGTGTAACTTCAGTCACTTTAAAATGTTCTGTAAGAAAAATGAAGAACTGCTGAAAAAGACTTTTAAAAAAATTATTCTAGTGCAAAAAAGGTTATAAATGTTCTGATAATATTAAAAATCTTGTGTTTAAGAAAAGTAAAGAAATACTAGGAACAGTGATTCATAATGTAACTTGATCCCTAAGTGTAACCATAAATTCCAAAATTAGCAAAGGACCCTATCCTGTGCTTTAAATTTCCCTGGAAACACATAAAAGAATTTATTTTTCCATTAATAGGACATAATGTTTTATTTTTCAGTTCCCCCTGCAATTACTCTGCTACAGAAATCCTTTAATGCCACTGCAGATCGAGGAGAAGCAATAACTTTGTTCTGCAGAGCCACTGGATCACCTCCACCTGAAATCAGTTGGTATAGGTAAGTTGAGTTGAGGTCTGCACATCAGAGCATGCTGCTGTAATATGTCATGATTTTCTATCACAGTCCATTAAGCTGTGCAACCTTAATTTCTTTACTGAATTTTAAGATCATTTGCTGTCCATTTCTGTTCTAACTTCTAAAGCTAGATTCAGCATTAATAAGTGAATGAACTTGCACAAATTCAATTGCACTGAGGTTACCAGTAGGCGAGATAAATGTAAAAAGTAACTAAAATACCATATTGACATGATCTCTTCATATTTGAGCAGAAACAAAGAAAGGTGAAGCAATGAGTCCATATCTCAAAAACAATACAAGCAAAAATCTCACAACAACTTTTGCATATCAATGCATCAGGTAAAAACATATGCAGTTGTGCATTACATAAATATCCAGTACAGATCAGCAATATTGATAACAAAGATAACATTTTCCCCATCTGTAAAAATAGATTCTAACCCTAACTCTCCATTTCAATGAGATTCAGAAGGAGATATGGTTTTAGACACCCCTAGCATATGAGAATGTTTCATTGGATAAGATTCAAGGGTATCTTATGTAATTTTTAAAATGTAATATGTTTTGAAAATGGAACTGCTTTTAAAGTTCATGTGTGTTTTCTGATGATATCAATGATATGAACATAGTATAGCTATGTTATTTGGCAACACTTACCATAGAGCATTTGTAAAAATTTGAATACCCATATTTTGTATATTCTTTCAATTTTAACAAAGATACGCATCAGTCCTGGGATATAAAGTATCTCAGACACCTCATACCAGTGCATATTTCTGCTTTGGACCTGAATAATTTGTATCTATTTGTATTATTTCAGGTAAATTAAAAGGTCACTGCATTTTCAAAAATGGACATGGAAAGGATTTCCATCAATTCTTAATCTCTTTTGGAATCTTTGAACAATGTTAGATTCATTTAAAATATTAGCTTCCTTTGACTGACACCTTTATTTTAACATGCCATAACTCAAATATGGATTTCAATTTTTCTCTTGTGCAATTTGAATCTCAGGAGATGTAAATAAATAGAATGCAAAGTCAATTCCTTAATGTAGAATTCAAAATTTAGTGAAGAGGAGGAAAAAGTAAAACAAAATATGCAGAGCCCAAATTAAAGAACTGATACTAAATTCAAACTAAGGTTGAATATTTTGATTATTTAATGTCCTTGAAGTAATTTTTTACAATATCTGTCTTATCTGGCCAAAATTCTTAAGAGTTATCTGAAATCTAGTACCCTAAATGGCCTTGTTGTTAAGACAACCAACATTAATGTTTTATATTGTTAAGAAATAATGCATAAATTTCCACAGTTTGTGGATATCTCTGTTTATAGGTGGGGGGGGGTGTCAGTATTTTATAAATACTACAGTACGTACACAGGCTAAGTGTCTTGGAGAGACACTTATCTCTGTGTCTACTGATTAGAGCCTACTGAAGGATTTTCCTTTGTTTTGCCAGCCCCTGAGGCAACTGACTTTTTTAAACCATTCATTAAATATCTTTTCTAACGATTTTACAAAAGCTTCACAGCCTTGTGTACTGGATACTGAATGTTAACTACAGAAGCTTCTGTTCTGTTTTTATTTCAGGAACTATCTCATAGTGAGGAATATTGGCTTATGTGCCTCCCTTCCCTGTTGTTATTTTTTTTTTTCCTCCTTCCATTCACTTTTTATTTAGTCTTATTAAGCTATAAATTCTTGGCAGTAGAAAATATTCTTGCTTTTTTATTTGGTGACAGTGAGAGGTTGTAAAGTAGTAGGTAGAAAAGGCCCCTGGTATCTATGACAGGATATTATTATTGATATACAAACAGGGAAAAAAGATGGGAGGAGCTAAATTATTTTTTCTGGAGGAAGCAAATTTGATTCTAAATTGTATTCCAGTACTAAATTACTGCATCAAATTTCTGAAATCTCTGTCCTGAACTGTTCAGGTCCCTTTTTACTCACATATAGGTAGCCAATTAAAAGGATTCAGAATCAGCTGATATTTTCTCCTTGTCATTGGACTTCTCTTGCAGATATGTCAAGATAAAGATCTTAGTTTTCTAGAATATTTCAGATGCTTTTTCTTTAGAAATTAGACTGAGCATAGGAAAACTAGATCAACATAATCCATCTTGTTTTTCAGAAAAATCTAGAAAGCATTGTCAGTGGTAGGAAAGTCTATCAAAACTGATTTATTTAATATTAATATGCTTGTCATCCATTGAGAACCTAATTGAATCCATTTATCAGAATTAATGGCCAAGGTGTCATATTCCAAATTTCATCCTGTTTAGCATACTTTCTGACATTGAATGTAAGTTGATATTAACCTCAGTTGTATATGTTTCTTTTTCAATAAACAAGTGGAATTACATCCTGAATTTGATTAAGTGTTAATGCTGATTTTGGAAGGGTTACAACCTTTGGTTACAGCAAGTTATGGGATTCGTGTTCAGTTTTATTCCCAACTGTACTGTTTATCCCTGTGAGTTCAGCTATTTTATTTAATTTGCCTCAGGTTAAGCATTTGTAAAATGGGTATGTGTAATAAAGTGACTGAATGGAAGTCTGTTTTCTGAATACATAGCTATGCTAAGGAAAAAAGGCTAGTGAGATGCAAACTATTATAACAGAGAATAATGTTCTTGTGTCTTTGTTGACTTTTAAAATGGGCTCTGACACCAATTATTCTCTCATTCACTCTATTGAAGTTTCTTTAGCAAGGCCTGCATAATTTGGATCTATCATTGTGTAGTCTTACCTTCCTTACAATCCACTGATATTTTAGTCAATTAAAAAAGAAATTCTCTTGATTTTCTTTTTTCTTGTTTCCTTCTCGGATTGCAATGAACTGATTTAACAGGTCAACTTCAGCTAGGGCATGAAAAATGGCTGTATTTTTAAAATCAAATGACAGTAGAATTAAGGTGGTTTTTATATCCCTCTGTGTTGACTGTAAGCAAGATGCTGGACAAAATAGTAGTTTCAAGCTTTAAACTCTTTAAGACAGAAGCTAATGTGGTAATAGCTTTAACTATTTACGTTGTCCCTTTTTCATTTCCAGGTGCTGACAATGTTTGAGATTTTATCAATGTAAAATGGAGGCATCTGAACTAATGTGTCAATCTTTCTCCAAAAAATGCTTTAGTTCTCTTACAAATTAGTTTGAAATACCTAGTCAAGAAGAAAGGTTAACAAGGTTTAGTTGCTGCTCTATTTAATGTGCATATGTACTTTGTTGATATTTCATGGACTGAGAGAATCTAATTCTTTCACCACTTAACTGATATCTCTATTGAAGCTGATATTACATTAGTGTAAAGCATAACCTTCAGAGAAGCAATATGCTAATAGAATTAAATTAGCCAGGAATGAAAGATAAAGTTCCAAATGTACAGGTTATGAACTGGAAATCTTTACTCATGTGAATAGTCCTACTGAAAACATGATGATTGTTTACATGTGTGGAGATAATTTACACTATTAAAGTTTAGCTGGATCAATCCCCTTATCTTTACTGACAGGATTTAGAATTATCTGACAAGAGAAATAATCTGGTTTTAATGTGTTATTCATGTTTTCCTGTTCTCCAATATCAGCATTAATCTGAATTTCTTCTGTTTGCTAGAGGGTCCAGAGAAATGCTCATAATCTCATTTCTGCTTAGAAATTGTCATAGATATAGGTGATGTTTGTGATAATGGGCATTTGGAAACTACTTCTGACCTTGAATATAGACTTTTATTTCTTAACAGAAATCACTAGGGTTGGTGGTTTTTTGGTTTTGGTTTGTTTGTTTGTTTGTTTGTTTGTTTGTTTTTGTGAAACCACCTATGTGGAAAATTAGACCTTTTCTGTTCTGCAAAACGATTTCTATGATTTGCTTTGGAAAGGAGATGAACAAGTATCACAATAATATCTTGCAGTGGACAGCTAAGTTGACTAGAGTTATTTACAAAAATATTACTAAAATGCAAGCTATATAGGTGCCAGGGGAAACCTATTAACAGATATTTATGCTCCCAAGAAAGAAGTATTCTCACTTTTAGGGAAAGTATTATTTTAGAAAATATGAAATATATGTAGTTATCAGCATTACGTGAGAAGAAAGTGAAAATTGTTGTTGCTTAAATCTTGAAATAAAACTAGGTGTTCTAAACTAGGCATATTGAACAGAATATAATAGAATATTTCAGTAATGCATATTGGTTTCATTTTACAAATTGTTTTCAAGAAGTTGGCATTGTCAGCAGGATTATCAATGCTTATGAAAATCAGGCAATTTTTATGTACATGCTTATGAGAAGGGGCTGTTGATGATTCAATAGAAATAAAATCAAAAGAAGCCTAGAGCAAAGTAGGCAGAATGAGAAGTAAAAAAAAAAAAAAGTTAAAATTGCACTCTTGCAAAAGAAGCTGTTTTGATAACTGTGTGTATGCCAAGGTGCTCAAATAGACCGGTCAAGCCTTGATCAGCCCTCAGAGTTGTTCACAGGTTTTATTATTTCTGTACCATTTGGTCAGAACTCATTCTAACATCTGGAGACATGCCTGCTTACTAAGTTGTGGCTAGCCAACCACAACTGAGAGGAAAGAATTTGGAAGGGTTCTTTATGTGCCAATGGGCTCTACATGTATGTAGTTTAAAACATTTAAGTTGGTGCATTGTTATTAATGTGAACTGCAACAGTTACACTTAGAAAATATTCTTTTAAATGTTTCTCACATACATGTATTTGTCTAACTGATTTCCTTCTATCCTTCCCTGAGTGTAAGCCGTATGTTAGAGTTCTATTCACAAGCATTTTTCTAACTTTGAGTCAATATTGAACATTTAAGAATATAGATATTGTAGCATTTTTAATATATATATCTTTTAGAACCTGACAATAAAATTGTGAAGCTGGGGTCTGGAACATCAAAATGCAATTCAAAATGCTTTCCTTGTGTCTAGAATGTGCATATTCTTATGAAAAAAACACTCTGATCCTGCAGAACAATTTTTGTCATGGTAAAATCAACTCCCTTCTATACACACTGCCGATTTATGCCAAGTGAGTCAATGCATTTTTGAGGCTAGCATAATAGCAGTCTCTTCCCTCAAAGATTATTTTCAAGATAGTGATGCTTCCCTAGCACATTGTTTCAGAGTTTGGAACCTACTGGTTGATTTATACATCATTCTTATTTTTTTAGGAACGGTAAACTTATTGAAGAAAATGAAAAATATATGCTGAGAGGAAGCAATACAGAACTAACAATAAGTGATATAAAAAATATTGATGCAGGTACTTATACCTGTAATGCTAAAAACAAAGCAGGAAATGATAAAAAACAGACATACCTTCAAGTTTTTGGTAAGTACTGCATAGTGTGTTCCATCCTTCCATTTTAAATGTAAACAGTAGGGAAATGAGGTCATAATTCACAATTTTCAGTGGAATACTGTTCCAACACTGCAAGGTGTCTACTGATTCAGCAAACCACTCTCTGTATAATTTTACAGCTTTTTCTTCCCTGTTGGCTACTTTAACCTTTACACCTGAATTTAATTTTGAAAAAAAGCTATCTGGCATTTGCTTTTCTGCTATTCAGATGCAGTACAATGGAGTGTTAAATTCTTAATTCACTCTAGTTTTCCTTTAAAAGTTGGTTGCTTGCAAGAAAACCAAAAGGAGAAAGAGGGCA